CCTCTCACCGCTGCGGCCTCTCCCGCCGCGGAGCACAGGCTCCAGACGCGCAGGCCCAGCGGCCATGGCCCACGGGCCCAGCCGCTCCGCGGCATGTGGGATCCTCCCGGACCAGGGCACGAACCCACGTCCCCTGCATCGGCAGGCGGACTCTCAACCACTGCGCCACCAGGAAAGCCCTACAATTCAATTTTTAAAGGAATAAAGTACTGATACATGTTACAACATGGATGACTCTTGAAGACACGCTAAGGGAATCAAGCCAGTCACAAAAGACCATATGTTGTATGATTCCATATATATGAAATGTCCAGAATAAGCAAATTTATAGAGGCAGAAAGTAGATAAGTGGTCACCTATGATTGGACTGGGGTTAGGCAGGAATGGAGATTGACTGCTGATGGGTACAGGGGTTCTTTTAGGGAGAGATGAAAATGTTTTTAAATTAAAGTAATTTTTAATACTTCAAATACTTTTTTTCCATTTATTACCTTTATTACCAAATTATACATGTAGGCTGGCATTTTTAAAAAAGAATCTGTAAATGGTAACTAGAGTAGCAGTTCAGGCAGTGTAGGGCTAGCACCCACCTTGTCATTGTTAGCCTGCCTGGCTGAGGGATGAGCACATGGGATATTTGATTGTGACACACTCCGAGGACAATGTGGTGTTCTGGGGATTAAAATGGCACCCACGCTAAGGTGGCTTGTGGGCCAGCAGGAAGGAGAGGAGGCAGATGTCTGCCACATTGTAGTAAAGTCCTACCCACATTTTCCCTAAAACTCTCCTACCCAGGTGGCCCTGGTGGTGAAGGCAAGATTCTCTGCTTTATGAAAACAGCAGAAAATTAACGTGACTCTAGAGGAACACAATGGAGTTGTTTCTGATGCAGCACTGGGAGAGCATCTCTACACGGTCGCTCATTGTGCACACATACACACTTCCATTCACTGCTTCTCTATGACCTGCTGGCTCAAATCAGGCTTGAGACCAGTGTAGGATCTGTGACTACTCCACCTCCCCTGCTTTGTGCAGGAAAACTGCAAGGAAATCTTAGGCCATAAGTGGGCTTAGGAATTCTGTCATTTCCATGCCGTGCATCAGCCAGAGCATAACCATTGAACTGGCTCTCTCTAGTGTCAAGCCCTCCCTGATCAAAGGATTACATTAGCACCAGCTGTGGTCAGGTTTGTCGGAAACCAAACCTCCTGTCCACTCCCTGGAGGCAAAGAAAACACACCCAAAATCTAAATAAAATCTTGGCCTTAATTAAAGGCAATAAAGTGTAGTACACCAGCACCCAAGAAAAAATCAAATAGAGGAATGGGATTTGTCCGTTCTATCAGATACAGCTTAAAACACTCCTGGAAATAGATACTGGACCTATTGTACAGCACAGGAGCGGGCTGGCCATAAGTTTTGTTATGATTGATTGCTTCAGTAGATGAGAAGAGCTGATCTCCCTAACTCCCAAGTGATATTCTCCAGGGTTTCTCCCCTAGCCATTAAGCAAGAGGTTCGGTTCAGGGGTGAACTTCAGGCCTCCTAAGGTATATTCTTAATTAATTTACGCTCCTCGCAAAAAAAAAAAAAAAAAAAAGACCAATCTCAGGTCCTTAGAAAAACACCCTTCCTCATGTATGAACTAGTTCATGCACTTATACTCTCTCCCTCTCACTCTCCCTTCCTCCCGTCCCCGCCCCAGAGGTGCGCATGCACACACCTTCTTAGTCTGGAGAACACGTCAGACTAAGTGGACCATTTTGGAGGGAGAGGCACAAGTAAAAAGGGGCAAGGTAGAACTTCAGTAGAGACAGCCCTTGCCAATTTGTAGAGACAAATCAGAATAAACCCAAACTTCCCTCTCCCACCTCACCCTCTGGGGTTTTTGTAGGGCTAGTCTCAGTTTTCCTTAGATCTCTAATGCAATGGTCTATAATGGTATGATGTGTGAGGTATGAGGCAAGCCCCTTTGCAAAACCATCTCCCTTGCTAGTAAAGCTATCTGAAATACCTCACATTCAATGCACTCATTAAGGTCCTTTTTAAGGAGACCTATGTTCTGTGAGTGGGCAGTATAACATGTTTGCTAACTATCCCATTACCTCCAAGTAAAGCCTTGAGGGAATGGGTAGCAGTACACGTGAGCTCTGTGCGGAGTCCAGATAAGTCTGGAGTTTAAGGCCAGGGGAACAGACCCAAGTGGAACTCCATAGACAGGTATCCAATTGATCCAGGAACAGCTGCAGGTACTGGGTGTCCAGATTTTCCACAGTAAGATGTGGAAGTTGAGGCTTCAAAGATGAAAATTTGAATAGGAGTGGCAATGGTGGCTGAGAAACAGTCTTCCCCATACCTTCTGTGACCAGTTACAGCATTTCCCCCAGTCTCCTGGGATGGAGGGAGAAATGAATTTGGGTTCTATGCTTGCTTGCTTTTTTGTTTTTACATTAACACAGTGATTTCATCCTTATGCCCCAACCCAGCCAGATGGCTTCACTATCTAAGACTTTAATCACACATTAGGAGATCTGGAGTCTGAGGGCTGGACAAGCAAACCAGCTCAAGCTTCCTAAACGACGGAGGCCATCCTTACCTTATGAAACAGAGTCCTCTGGCTCCTAACTAATGGTAGGCCCGTACATCTCATTGTAGCTGTGACTGCGCAGGTTGCCCTGATCTACCCGCACCCTCTCACGCAGCACTCTTGAGGGAGGGGGTATGCATTTGTCATACTCCATGCAACCCACTGAGCTGTGCAGCCCAGACAGCAAACATGTATATATGTGTGTGTGTGTGTGTGTGTGTGTGTATATATATATATATATATATATATACGCGCACAGGGAAAGGCCTCCAGGCCCAGCTCCCACCAGCAGGGAGGCCAAGAGTCCCTGGGACCAAAGGCCCATTGGAGACTTGGCTGCCAAAGGGGGACCTGGATCTAGCTACCTGCCCCTTGCCCCGCCCCCACCCCCCGCCCCACCTGAGCTTACCCAGGCTTGGTTTGTTGACCTTCCCAAACCGGCTTCACAGAAGAGATGTTAATACTATCACTGGACAAGATTGGTTTGAGCCTCCTCTTTCCC